AGCCACCGGGTCTGGGACGCGAACCGCGGTCAACTACGTGGGAGTCCAGCAACATAGCCATTATGCTAACTGCTGGTTCCCAACTTTAGTAGAATATTTTGAAAACTCAGAAACCATAAAAAGTAGAATTTGAAGATGGAGAAAATAGATTCTGGGTAAAACCATGAGCAAAGAGGCAGTGCAACAACTGCTGCGATTTTCTCTCTTTCTTTCTTTCTTTCTTTCTTTTTTCCAGCAACATAGCCATTATGCTAACTGCTGGTTCCCAACTTTAGTAGAATATTTTGAAAACTCAGAAACCATAAAAAGTAGAATTTGAAGATGGAGAAAATAGATTCTGGGTAAAACCATGAGCAAAGAGGCAGTGCAACAACTGCTGCGATTTTCTCTCTTTCTTTCTTTCTTTTTTTTTTTTTTAGTAAAATGACTAGTAGAAAATTTTGGGAACCAGCAGTTGGTGTAATGGCTGTGTCACTGGACCACCATGTAGTCGACCGCTGTTTGAGTCCCAGACCCGGTGGCTTAAACTCATGCCAGGCGCATGTGCGTGCGTGCCCAAGATCCTGAGAGGAGAATGGAGGAGAAGAGACTGTAGTGTGGCCATCCCCCCAAGGGGGTGGTTATTTCTCATTTTCTGTCTCTCTGTCTCTCTGTCTCTCTCTGTCTTTCTGGCGAGTGCGTATACCCTATAGCAAAAACCTCTTAAAAAAAAAAAGAAAGAAAATTTTGTATTGGGGCTGGCAGATGGCATGGTGGGTAAGGCAGCTGGACTCTAACGTCGCTGACTACAGTTCAAGTCCCTGGCAGCTTGTTTTCTCAATTTCCTTCTCTCTCTCTCTAGTCAACTTTAAAAAAGAAAAAAATGACAATAAATGAAATTGAATAAAATAATTCTTTAAAAAAAGAGAAAATGTTATATCAATCCAGATTCTAGCTTCTAAGAATCAGTACAATACATTCATATGCATCTGTGTAACATTGTTGAATTTAGAACTAATTGAAAAGATCCTGGACTTCTTTCAACTTTTCCACCAATGGTAAAAAAAAAAAAAAAAAATAAAGGAATCCACCAAGCCCCTCTCTGATCCAGGGCGTGTTTGTTTTGTTGAATGTTAGCAAAGGGGAACTGCCGCAGAATGAACTCAGATGCGATTTGGGGCGGAGATTTGCTGTGAACCATCAGTTAGCCTAAGGGCTCCTTGGAAACACAAAACGGTTTTCATGAAGGAGAGACTGCCAAGGAAAATTCAAATGAATAAACTACACCTCCATGAGTTTGAACATTTCCATTTGACTTTAAATGGCTTTAAAATACATTTCACATGGAACTGTGTCTATCGGAGCACAGAGCCACCAGGTGCGAGTCATCGGCGACGTCTTCTACTTACAAATTCACATCCAGTCAGCCTGACTAGTGTAGTCGTACTCCCCTCCGCACCTCTCCCCTCCACCGCCTGCTCTCTCTACCTCCGAGCAATGCTCCTGGGAGGCTTCACGACTGTGTTTACCTCTGTTCGAAACTGGTGTTTGAGTTTTGGTCCCCTGCAAGGAGAAGGCAGAAGTCATCAGAGATCTCCAAGGGCTCTTTCTGGTCATCGACTGTGCTTCGGAGGCTCAGTTCCTTTTCCTTCTTCTTCTCCATCTGCTTCTGTAACCTTCTGTGCTGCATTTCCTGCATCGCCTTGAACTGGAGGCGCAGAGTGTCCTGTGAGCCTTCGTCTGCCGCCATCCTGCCCTAAGAGTCAGAAAAGCAGTTTGAGCTCAAGCAAATCCCCGCAGAGCACTCAGCAGATAGTCAGCCCTGTCTACAGCCCCCAAATCTGCAGTGCCCTGCTCAGCTGTGCATGTGTGTCCATGCAGAAACCTGGAATCCCCACCCTTACCCCGAGTCACCTGAGAGCGAAAGCCAAGCTGAGCACCCCTGTCCAGCCCTGAGCCTGCCCCTGGACTGCACATGGCATCTGGGTATGATCATCACCCAGATCTGACTTCAATCAGTGGCTCTCAACTCCAGCTGAAGATTAGACCTCCCTAGGGGACCAGCAGTTGGCGTAATGGCTATGTCGCTGGACTCCCATGTAGTCGACTGCGGTTCGAGTCCCAGACCCGGTGGCTTAGACTCACACCAGGTGAGTGTGCATGCGTGCCCAAGATCCCAAGAGGACAATGGAGGAGAAGGGACTGTGGTGTGGCCATCCCCCCTGGGGGGTGATTTCTCACTTTCTGTCTCTCTGTCTCTCTCTGTCATTCTGGGGAGTGCATGCGCCCTATAGCGAACCCCCCCCCCCCCCCCCCAAAAAAAGATTAAACTTCCCCAGAAAATTCTAAAATATAGCAATGCCTGGGCCCATCCCCAATCCAACTAAATCCCAGTTTCTAGGAATGGGGCTCAGACATCCTAGTATAATTTACAAACAGTAAAGTGCATGACTCCTACGTGGACAGCTCAGTGACTCTTTCCACAGATAGACACCTGTGGTGACCAGCCAGGTCAAGATAGAGGGCACTTCCTGTCTCTGAGCAAGTTATTTTATACCTCCTCCGATCAATCATCCCTCAAGGCCATCCTATTCTGACTGCTGCTGTAGTCTTTTTTTTTTTTTAGAGGTTTTTGCTATAGGGCACGTGCGCTCACCAGACAGAGAGAGAGAGACAGAGAGACAGAAAGCGAGAAATCACCCCCCAGAGGGGATGGCCATGCTGCAATCCCTTCTCCTCCATTCTCCTCTTGGGATCTTGGGCACGCACGCACACGCGCCCGGCATGAGTTTAAGCCACCGGGTCCGGGACGCGAACCGCAGTCGACTAAGTGGGAGTCCAGCGACATAACCATTACGCTAACTGCTGGTCCCTGTAGTCTTTTCAATTAACTCAATTAAAATACAGTTTAGACATGATATATCAATTGTATGTGTACAAATGAGTTTTGTCAAATATATACAACTGTGTGAGCCACCACCATCAGCATATAAGAACATTTCCATCAAAAAGGACCTTTGTGGAAACCAGGAGGTGGCGTGGTGGTTAAGGTGCTGGACACTCCCACATGGCCGACCACAGTTCAAGTCCTGGACCTGGTGGCTTACTTTCTCACATTCTCTCTCTCTCTCTCTGTGTGTCTCTCTCTCTGGTGAAATTAAAATAAGTGAATGAATAAATAAAATAAAATAAATAAATAATAAAAATAGATTTTTCAAAAAAGGACCTTTGTGCCCCTTTAACCCTGTGCCAAACCCAACCCCAGGCAAACACTGGTCTTGCTTTTTGTTAGTCAGAAACTGTCTCTTCTGCGATCCCTCCTCCTCTCAGGATTTGGGGCATGCGAACACATGCACCTGGTGTGATTTTCAAGCCACCAGGTGCAGAACTCGAACCACACAGTCAGCCATGTGGGACCAGCCACCTTAACCTCCACACCACCTGCTGGCCCCTTCTAACTACCTTCTGCTGCGAAGCCGCAGTGTAGTAGGTGTGACAGAAATTACACTGCCAGGCCAGCCTCGTGACAGTGGTTAAGGGAGCCAGATTCCCTGTGGCTGACTACACGGTTACTATCCTGGCCCTCACAGCTTGAAAAATAGGCCAGACACGTGTGTGTGCGCCCCAAATCTCCACCTTGTAGAGAAATGGAGGAGAAGGGATGGTGGCATGACCACGCCCCATTGGGGGATGCTTTATCACTCTCTGTCTCTCATCTTTCTCTGGGGAACACACACATCCTTTGGGGAAAAAAAAGAAAAGAAAAGGAAACCATTGAATATATTGACTACAAAGCCTAAAATATATCCTGTCTAAGTCTTTACAGAAAATGTTTGCTTGGGACCAGCAGTTAGCGTAATGGCTATGTCGCTGGACTCCCATGTAGTCGACCGCAGTT